AGCCCTGACACTTCTGCACTCCGAGGCTTGGAGAAATGACTTAACCTGCCTGAGTCCCGGTTTCCTAACCCGTGAGGCAGGGCAATGGTACCGTTCTCATGGGTTTGCTGTGCCCGGTATGTAGAAAGTGCTAGATACGTGTTCTGAGAAGGCAGCTGGCCGCGTACAGCAGTGCGAATGGCCCAGACTAGCCATCCTGGCTTATGCAGTTGCTAGCAGGTCACTGCCCCCCTGAACCTGGAGCTTGTAAATAATACCTTCCTGCCCTCGCCCTGCTCAGATGGCTGTTGTGAGACTTGAAGAGACAGTGCTGTGAGGGGCAGTTTGATTCTGTGGATAAAGAGAGCCCCCGTGGGGCAGTGAGGTCAGGGGCCAGACTCCACTGGTAGCTGCTGTTGCTCCCGAGAAAGCCCCCTCCCCTGACCACCCGTTACTGTTCAGGGTCCAGTGGGGCAACCTCCCAGATGTGTGTACATCCAGAGCAGGGAGAGGGTCCCGCAGCCCTCAGAACACCTGCCCATGCAGACCTTCCTGCCTGTGGAATAAAGAAGTAGGAGTAGATGAAGGTAGGAATAGTGCCCGGGGGACTTTCAGCTTCCCAGGGCTCACCACACTGCATGCCCCAAGAGCTTTCTCGAAAGACCAAGCATTTGGGGCTCTGAATGGACTTGCCAGAAGTTTCCCCACCTCGGGCTCCAAATCCCACAGGAGTTAAGTCATCCAGCGATAGAAACCCAGGGAGGGCTCACTGCCCTCAACCTTCCTGGAGGAAATGGGGTGATGAGAAGCAGCCCGTCCAGGGTCAGACAGACGACGAGTCAGGCCCTGTTTGTGCTCTTACTGGCTCTGTGACCTGAGCAACGACGTGGTGGCTTGGAGTCTCGGTTTTCTCCTCTGTCAGATGGGTTTAATAATCCCCTGTCATTATTCAATGAGGCTGTCATGAGGATTCACCAAAATCACAGATGTCAGGTGCTGACATACAGCAGGCGCTCAATAAATGCCCTCCATCGTGATGAGACACGGCACAGCGGGAGCCAGCCTGACTAGGTTTGAGACAGCTTGGTTACAAATTCGGGGGTTCCCACAACCCACCACCTCAGGTTCGATAATTTGCTAGAACAGCTCACGGAGCTCAGAAAAGCACTCTCCTTACATTTACTGGTTTATCATAAAGGTTATACGTGAACAGCCAGATGGAGATACACAGGGTACAGGAAGGTCCCAAGTGCAGGAACCTCTGTACCCAACTCCACGTGGAGTTGGCATGTGGATGCTTTCACCAACTCAGAAGCTCTCCGAACCCTGTCGTTTAGGGATTTTTACGGAAGCTTCATCACCATCAATTATTAACTCAACCTCCAGCCCCTCTCCCCCACCCCACAAAAGATGGGGGGGGGCACTGAAAGTTTCAAGCTTCTAATCGTGGCCTGGTCTTTCTGGTGACCAGCCCCCATCCTGAAGCCGTCAAAGAGCCCACCCAGAGTCACCCCATTAGAACAAAAGATGCTCCTGTCATCCCAGGAAATTCCAAGGGATTTAGGAGCTCTGTGTCAGGAGCCAGGAGCGGAGACCAGTTATCTATTTCTGATTATGTCACAGACACCAAGAGAGACTGAGGCCTGGGGAGATGAGATAATAGAAAGAGGGGGAGAGAGGGGGACACCAGGAGTCCCAGTGTCACAGGGAGAAATGGGACCAAGAGACAAGAAGACAAAAAGAAAGCAGACAGACTCTCTGGGAGGGAATACTTCTGCAGGCCTGCTCCCCATCTCGGCAGGCTTGAGACACAAAGCTTTTACCCTCCCAAACTGTCCCCCAGTATCCTGTCCGGTGGCCCCATGACCCGACCTGCCCTCTCTCAGCCCAGCTCCCCCCAGGGCAGGTGAGCGCTGTGTCTCAGACCATGTGCTTGGGCTGCTGAATCTGCCAGCATGTCCCCACCCCACCTCAGGCTGAGTCTGGCACCTGCTCAGGACCAGGCATGCCCAGGTCAAGGGGACCCAAGATCAAGGACAACCCCCATCAAAGGGTACAGTACGAGTGCTTGGGGGCCTACAGCACCATGGTTAGGCCCGCAGGTTTCAGTATCACGGACATTTGTCCTTGAGGCCTAGGTCACCACCTAATAGCTCTGTGACTTTGGGCAAGTCATATCACCGCTCTGACCCTCTGTTTTCCCACCTGTAAAAGGGAATAATAATCACAATATGTTCCTTGTTTTATAGGGTTGTGATTTTATTGTGAGGGGTGAATGTATATAAAGTGCTTAACATAAGCACCTGACACCTTACAAGCTCTCAACAATTGATAGTAAAAACATAGGGGTGGCATAGGGGTGACAGAAGGGACAAAGGTCAGGGATCCTGAACTTTTCTTAATTTGCTGGGACCTTGGGCACATCAGAAAACCTTTCTGATACTCAATATCTTCACCTATGAAGGCTAAAACCCCTCACTTGCCTTGGTCAAGTTCAGACAGTAGCATGAGGTGGGCCCAGGCCAGTGGGCATGCGACTCCCCCTCCGTAAAAGACACCCAGCTCCTCGGGCACCTCAGGAACAGCTCTGGCTCCTCCCTGGGTCCTTCCACTAGATGGTGGCTAGCTGACTATTTCTTAACCGCTGGCTGGATTGTCAACACCCCCTGCTGGTCAGATGAGGACGCCCGCAGAGCCATCTCCAGGAGCTAGTGTGATTGGTGCGGGGTTCACTCTTATATAGGGGTCAGAAAAGCAGGACTGCTCCCTGGAACTGCCTAGGACTCACCTACCGGGTGGCTGGGACCACAGATGCAAGGAGTGCCCCAGGGGCCTGTTTCAGAACACCAATCACTGTGATCATTGGTAACTGATGTGCGGTAAATATCGGGCAGCACGTTAAGTGCTTTCCATGCGTCATCATTTCACCCTCCTAATGACCTGCGGGGTTAACACTTATTGATATATTATAATAAACTGTAATACCTATTTTGCAGATGAGGAAACAGACTCCGAGAGACTGGGTAACTTGCCCAAGGCAACACAACTAAAAAGGGGCAGAGCCCCAGTTTTGCTGCCCAGATCAGGCTGTCTCCTGAGCATGGCCACCTCCCATACAACCCAGGCTTGTCTCAGAGAAGGTGCTGGGAGGACAGGGGTATAGTGCTGTCCAGGACTGGTCTAACTTGGGGACAGGAGGCAGCTGGCACCATGGGAAGCATCATGAGACCTAGTGTCACTTTGCTCACTTGACTGCTCTGTTGCCATGTGGCCCCGGTTACTTCATCTGTAAAATGAGAAGTCTGTGGGACTTCCCCGGCGGTCCAGTGGTTAAGACTCCGCGCTTCCACAGCAGGGGGCAGGAGTTCGATCCCCGGCCGGGGAACTAAGATCCCGCATGCTGCCCAGAGCAGCCAAAAAACAAAAGAGAGAGAGAGAGAAGTCTGTGCCACATACCCCGGAGGTCCTTCCTGCCTCTGATTCATTTCACCACTCCCACCTCCATCAAATCGGTAATCTCACTGATGATGTAACTTCACAGCAGTCTAACTAATGCTTCTTAACCTGGGGTCCCCGGACCTCTCCGCACTTCAGGAGCTGTCTGGAATTACGAGGAAAGTTGTACGTGAGTGTATACGTATTTCAACATGCATTTTCCCAGGGCAAGTGTCCATATTGGCACCAGATTCTAATCCCCAAAAGCGAAGAATCATTCATTATTCTAGCTTTTTAGAATTTCCCTAACCTCCATCTAAATTTTTAGGGGGACAAGTAGAGAAAGCTGAGTCCCTACCGTGTAAAGTTCTTCCCTTCACTGTGTTTAAAGTACCCTCAGGCTTCCTGGAGCCGCACCTGCTCCTGCACCCCAGTCTTCTACCCTCCAGCCACACTGACCCATGGAAGCTCCAGCCCCCACTGCTTCCAGTTAGTCTCTGCCTCCACGCTGAGGTTCCGACCTCCTCTATCTTGTCTTTGCGAGTCCTCACCCCCATGTCCTTCCCTGAACCAGCGGCGCCAGGAGGCTGGTCTTTCGTGAGGTAGGTGCAGTGACCAGGACGGCCAGTAGGAGTCGCAGGGCGGAGGAACCACGAGGAGCGTCCGAGGGCAGGATCTCGCGTCTTTATGGGCCCCCTTGGCAGCCTGGAGGTGAGGAAAGCATGGCAGCAGTCAGGAGGCCTGTGTTCTGGGTCTGGACTTTCCCCTCCATAGGGCTCAGGTTTTCCATCTGTAAAGTGGAGGGAGGTGGCCTAGAATCACTAGACGGTTGCTGGGCAATCTTGCTGCACCAACGTCCTGTGGACATTTCTGATGATGCTGGAGGGAAGAGGCTGTCTTGAAGTGCCCTTGGCAGAAGCACTTGGCCCAGCAGCCTTAGGGAATGCAACAAATGACTCCAGTGCCCCTTCCCAGACTTGACTAAGAAAACAACAGCCCATTGTCCTGCAGCTTAAGGGGAAGCCTTACCCCTGGGAGAAAGGACGGCTCTAAATAGGGCTGCCACATGAGCTGCCTGGGGTGATGAGGGAAATGGAGACCCCACTGGAGGCCCCCCAGGGGTGGGCTGGGGCCTTGAGATGGGGGTTCATGGGACCTTGGTGATAGGTGACAGCCTCCTAGTGTACAGCGTCTGCCCATGTCTGGAGAAGCTCAGGGGGACCTGGTGGGAAGGCAGGAAGTGTTGACCTGCCCTCAGCAGCTGCAGTGGACAGGCCTGGACCATCCTCCTGACTCAGCTGCTGGGGGGGGTCTCCTGTCCCAGTTCTTCTGAACCCTCCCTCTCCATCAGCTCTAAATTCTGGGTCCAGAGAGAGAGCAAGGTGAAGACTCGAGGATGAGGGAGGGCCCTGCAGAGATGTATGGGGTGGGGGAGTGCCCTACCATCTACCCCAGGACCCCCTCCAAGGAAGAGGACCAAGTCCTCATAGGCACAAAAAGACCCTCTCCCTCTCCCACCTCCAACCTCTTGCTACCCGTCTCCCACCCCCAAATGATTAAAACAAGACACAGGCATGACAAGGATGGAGAAGGTTCTCTACAAAAATTATAATGAGCCTGAGGGAGGGGTACTTTGTACAGTGGTGGGAATCTGGGAGCCCGCCCCACCCCAGCACTGAGAGAACAGGGAGGGGGCTGAGGCCGTACACAGACAGGGAACAGGAGAGAAAGGGCAGCACCTGGGGCTCCAGGAAAGTCAAGTCGGCACTTGGGGGTGGCCCCAGGCCCAGAGAACGGGGAGCAGGACTGCAGTGGGCTCAGAGTGGCAGTGGCAGGCGACCAGGCCTTCAGTGTGGGAACAGGGACCACCTCCATCACGCCCCCAGCTCTGAGCAGGTGTGTGCCCGGGGACCCACGCTCAGACAGACACACCAGAGGGAGGCCTGTGGCGTTTTGGGGGGGTTCTCTGTCCCCTGCACCAGCCAAGGGGCCCAGGAAGGAGCTGGGGGCTGTGGCAATGCTCCCGGTAGGAGCTGCTTCCTAAGCTGAAGGTCAGGGACGGGGGCACCATTGTTGACAGAGGAGGAAGGGCACATCTGCATGCGGTGTATATGTGCACACCGTGGGGGCTCCTGAGTGACCCTCCCACATCCGTGACCTTGGTCTGAGGACCCTTTGAGTCTGGCCTTTCCCCTGGTCTCACCAGCATCACAGAGCAGGGACCCGTGCAGAACTCTCCCCTACCCGCTACCCATGCAGAATCAGGCAGCCACCCAGCTGCTTCCAGACCCTTTGCCCGGAGCCCTGGGAACCTGGGGGCAATCAGCAGTTTAGACTGTCCACATCCTCAGGCTCCCGTGTCCACATGGCAGGACTCGCCCACGCGAGGCTGGACACCCAGCCACAACCAGTCTCTGCCTGGTTTGGGCCTGGGAGACTCTGAGCCAGTTGGCAGATGCCTTTCCCCAGCCCAGAGATGCCCGCCGAGCCTCGAGGCCATAATACTGTAGCCAGTCGCTCTAGCACCTTGGATCTATTGCCCTGACCCTCTGGGGTCCCTGGGGTTGGGGGCACCGGGCTGCACAACCAAGGAGAGAGTGAGTGGAGAAGGACAGGGCGGGGAGGGTGGAGTCAGGCTGGGCCCCACCCCGGGGTAGGCTGGAAGGGCACCGGTCACCCCCACCCCAGCCCAGCCTGGCGCTCCAACTCCCCAGCATGGCCAGTGGGAGAAGGAGAAGGGGACTGGCCGTGCTTGGGGCGGGGTGGGGACTAAAGCTGGGGCGTTTGGCTGAAGAGTCTAGCAGGGAACCTCCTCTCCGGGGTGTACAGGGGGAGGGGAGGCAGCCCAAACTCTTCCTGCACAAAAATGTAGGAGGAGAGTCTCCAGACTGAGCAGACCACAGGACCCGTAGAGGAGGGGTGGGGACAGACAACGGCCCCGGGGCAAGCCATGCCCACTCGCACCACACGCTCCCATCCAGCTCTGACGGGCTGATCATCTAGTGGCCCCCGCCCTGGCACTGGGGCTGGCCTTCCACGAATGCACACGTGCTTTAGAGCCACTCAGAGAGAGGTGGCTTAGGGGCCTCGGGACCCCTCAGAATTGATGTTCTGAGTCACTCTCTTGGCCTTCCAGGTGCCTCCAGGCCATACCCTCTGCGGCAGAGTGGGGACAGGCTTTCAAGGGAGATGACCGCATGGTCCTTGCTCCCGGGAAGCGGCTGGGGAGCTGCAGGGCTGGCAACTGTGAGGACCTCGTGGTCCCACCGTGGGTGTGGCAACTTGCAACTCTTTTTGGTATGGGGATAGGAGCCCCTGTTATCTGTGGAGAGAGAGACAGAAACAGACCTCAGATAAGGGCCTTCGCACACAGCATTTTAAGTCAGGACCAAATATTCTGACCACTTACCCTCTCTAGGCAGACCGATGATCAGGGATGGGGACGCCGGCCCCAAACTCTAAACCAGACTTCCTCCCAAACCCACCCCTGCCCAGCCATGCAGGGTAAAGGCCATAGATACCAAAAGGGGGCGGCCGTGTTTGCTGGGCTCGTGGGATGCCAGGATGCAGAGTCAGGGCAGGGATGGGCCAACAGCGTTGCCAGTTTGACAGCAGCCTTGGGCTCCCCATGATGGCTTTTTGAACGTGACAGCTCTGCCCTCAAGGCCACTGTTGGCCCTGTTGAGAGTATCTGCTCGTTTCTGGTTACAAGGTTCAGGGACCAGTAGGTAAGACATCTGTCTTGAGGGCCTGGGCATTTGGTGAGATGACCGGCTGCCACACCCTCCACCCCACGGGAGTCACCTTGCCCTCCCTAGCTCTAGAGCCTCACAGACCAGGGATCAGGCCCAGCTCTGCACTGAGCGGCGGCAGGACCATGGGTGAGCTACTCGAAGCCTCTGAACCTCCACTTGCTCACCTGTAAAATGGGGGTGACACAGCCCCTGCACATGAGAGGACTTGTGCAAGGGCAACTCCAGTACCCAGGCGATGGGAGGGCTCAAAACGTCCCGGCCGTGGTTACTATGACTACTGGGTCTCATCCATACGAAGACACCCATTTTCCTGCGTTCTGACTTCTTCAAAATTGAGGTGCATTTGACACCAGCAAAGTACACAGGCAGCTTCTTTTTCCGAATTGGGGGTGAATACGCGGGGCCTCTTGGAATTGACGGCGACCTAGTTATTATCCCCCACCCGAAAAGGCAGACAGATCCACGCCCACCCCAGGGCCTTCCAAGCCCTATCTTCCCATCCCCACCGAGGCTCTGGGCACTCACAACTCTGTGTCCTCCAGGGCCGGCGGGCGCTCCAGCGCCTGCCTCCGCCTCCGCACGGCCCCCATGATCTTCTTGCGGGGTCCCAGGGGGACGTTGATGCTGCGGAGGTCGAGGTCCGAGCACAGCATGAGTGCCTCGAGGTCGATCTTCTCCTGCCGCAGGATGGTGGTGAAGGCCTCCATGTGCAGGGAGGCCAGGAACGTCTCCAGCGGGCTCGTCTCGGGCTCCAGGTCTTCATCCAGGCCCAAGTCCAGCTCGTCCCAGGGCAGCTCCTCCCCGCAGCTGCGGTCCTGCAGGCTGTTGGCACTGCCCAGGCTGTCGTCGTCGAGGCTGGGGGAGCTCTGAAGCCGACCCCGCGGCGTGCCCGCGCCGTCCAGCGCCGCGTCCTCGCGGCCCAGGCCGTGCAGCCCGCTGCTCAGGTAGTTCCTGCGGAACACCATGGTGCCCAGGCCCGGGCGGGTAAACAGGGAGTCGTGGCCTGAGTCGGTGCTGACCTCCGAGCGCGCAGGCTCGGCCGCCAGTGTGGCACGGGAGACGCTGTCCTCGTCGGAGAGGAACATGTCCCTGAGCGGGGCGCGGCCCCACTCCTTGGGGTTGGCGTAGGTGCCCTGGCGCACAAACATCACGTCACTGCCCAGCTGCAGGCCCGAGAGCGAGCGCACGCTCTTGCGGCCGTCCTCGGAGATCTTGAAGGTGCCTTCGCCGCCCTGCTTGCGCCGCTCCAGCTTCTTCTGGATCTTGGTCTTGCCCTTGGCGGTGCCGTGCAGCGTGGCCTGCGAGTAGGGCAGGTGGCTGCCGAGCGCCAGATGATGCAGCCGGCGGCTCAGGGTGCTGGACGTGATGCTGGAGAAGCTGAGTGTGTCCGAGCGCTCGGCCAGCTCGCGCCGGTAACGCCGTTCCATGCGCTCGTGGTGCTTGCGCTGCATCTTGGCGCACTCGCGGATGCGCCGCTCCGCCTCGCGGAAGGCCTTGTCCTTCAGCTTGCCCACCAGCTTGGGGTTGAGGCTGCTCTGCTTGGCCGCGATGGAGTCCAGGTAGCGCACGCATTCCATGTGGCCCTTCATGGCGGCCATGTCCAGCGGCGTGTGGTAATCGTTGTCCAGGCACCAGATGTTGGCCCCGAAGGACACCAGGAAGGAGAGGCAGTGCAGGTGGCCATTGGAAGCTGCCAGGTGCAGGGGCGTGTTGCCCCAGATGTCACACTTGTCCGGGTCACCCCTGCAGGGAGGACACGCGGGGAGGGGTGACGAGCCATCGCAAGGTCAGGCAGGCAGTCGGCAGCGGCTGCCGGTGGGGGGAGCGCCCAGCCTGGATGAGCTTCCCCACAGGCACACCAGAGGGACTCGACGGCCTGAGACCTCTCCTCTGACTCCGGGAGACACGCCGCCGGGAGCCACCGGGCGCAGCTCGAGCGAGCCCAGGGTTAAAGATGGCTCCAGGCTCGCAGTGGGTGGGGCGACAAAGAAGGCGGGGCCGGGGCGGGGCCTTCCCCAAGAGAACTGAGGGCTGGGAATCTCAGGGGATAAATATTTAATGTCCAGAGAGAAAGGAGTGAATTATTCATGGGGCCCGGCGGGGAGCTGGCCCAGAGAGGTGGTGGGCCAGGGCCGAGTCTGGGTCTCTAGGCAGGCACGGCGGTGAGTGGGGCTGCCAGTGCAGGAGTGACGGAAAAAGAGGACGAGAGGGTCGTGTGTGCTGGGCCTGAGCCCTGGGGGAGTGTGTGAGGGTGCGTGCCTGCGTGTCGCCGGGCACGGCCACGTCTGCAGGGAGCAGGGCCAGGCCTGGCAAGGCCGCGTGTGAGAGCAGGTGTCGGGTCTTGGCCTGGGCCAGGAGGGGAGCATGGGGGCAGCCAGGACTGGAGGGGAGGGGAAGGGCAGCCTGCAGCCTGGGCCCAGCTGCCCTCCCCTCCCGGGGCGGCCCCATCTTCGGGAGCGCTGTGAGGCGGCTGGCTCGGGCAGGTCCAAGGGACCCACGCAGCCCCCTCCAACACCCTCCGCGCCAGACTGTGCCCCCCTTGGGCACCCTCCCCCTGGCTCCTCCAAGCTTGCGCCTCCCTCAGGGACCTAGCTCAGGCCCTCTGCCCCACTCTAATGAGGGGGCCACCCCGCAGGGCTGAAGGAAGAATCACTTCATTGTCTCAGCAGCTCCTGCCCACACTCCCCAGTCCCCAACCCCCCGCATTCCCCTCCCCACTTCCCTCACTGGTCTTCAAGTCCTTCTAGACAGGAGCTACTGGGCATCTGGCCCACACCCCATCAAGCACCAGCCCTCACCCTCTGTAGGAGCTGGGGGGGTTGGTGCACCAAGGGGGGCCCCCCAGTCCCCTCCTCCCACGAATCTCTCCGGGGGGGAGCAGAATGGCAGATCACTGTGCGCCCTCTTCGCATGGACAGGGGCCAGGCTCCGCGTCTCGGGGCATGGTTCAGCTGCCTGATCTCAGGGGCTGCTTCCACCTGTTGCTGGGCCCGGGGAGCAGCTGTGGAGGGAGGGCAAAGGGGGGTTCCCCACCTACCCCATGCTCAAACCACAGGCCAGCTCCTGGCGCCAGGCCAGCCGGGCCCCTTTCCCTCCACCAGGATTTCCCAGGGCCTGAGATGTTCATGTTAACCCTCCTGGGGCATCTCGTACATCCCTCTTCCTTGTCCAGGCCTCCCTGGTCCCCAGGTCAACCTGACTTCTCTTTATTAAACCGCTGGGGCTGGCAAGTTGTCCACAGGGTCATTCAGCCGTAGGGAGCCCATGTCAGTGGCCCCGGACGCCACATTCCTCAACTGCTACTTCCTAACCCCTTCCCTGGCCCTGACACCTGGATTCAATGCCCACTCCTCCCCGCAGACAACTCCAAAGGGAGGGTGATGGAGCCCGTGGTGGGGGAGGGGCACAGAGGGAGTTCATGGGGTGGCTGAACCGAGTGACATTTGGCGCTGTGGACAGTGCCCACAAGTCTCAGGGATGAGCAGGGAGAGAGCTGTGTGGAATCCAGTGTGTGGGGAGGTGTGGGCGCCGGCTGGACCCCTTGGACCACAGGCTGGGGGTGGGCAGTGAAGAGCTTCTCCTTTCCCAGCCCCCCTTCCGGCCCCTCTGAGGCTTCTGCTCTTTCTCTCCCAGTCTCACTATGCCCTTCACTCTTGCTTCCTGGTGCTACCCACCCAGGAGATCCCTCCCACCTTCTCCTCACTCTGAAGCCCCTCCCACAACCATGGACCCCCAAGTCCCAGTCCCTCTCCTCCTAGCCCCGCATCCAGGTCACAAATGTCACAGGCCTCAGTTTGTTTCCTCCTCCCACGACTGTCAATCTCCAAGGTTCCACCTTAGGGTCTGTCCTAGGGAAGAGGGTGGCACAGCAGAGGTGGGGGGGGAGATGCCATGGAGTTGAGAGGGGGTGTCTCAGGGGCCTAGAGCGGCCCTGAGACTCTCAGTCCTCCCCGGCGGGGCTTGGGCGGGGACAGTAGGATACTCACCCTCGACTCACGATGAGGCGCAGTGACTCCAGGTTGCCGTGGTAAGCAGCCCAGAGGGTGGGGGTCATGCCATCCTCGTCGGGGGCGTTCAGCTCCTTCCTGGTGGCCTCCTTGAGAAGTTCCAGGTAGCCGTCCCGAGCCGCCCGGTGGTACTGGTCGTTCATGGCGCCTGACTTGGACGGGACGGGCAGGGGACACGGGGAAATGCCCCCCGCGGGGGAGGGCGGCGGGGTTAGAGCTGAGGCATGGGGTTGGGGGAGGGGGTCGGGCAGGGGCCGGGGCCGCCAGCGCCCGCCGCCGCAAACAGAAGATGCGGAGCGCCAGAGCCGCCGCTACTCGGACATCTGAGCCGCTCAGCGGGCGGGGAAGGTGGGGGGAGGATCTCCCGCTGCCCAGAGGGCCGCCCCGGGCTGCCCCTGGGTCCTAAACTCCCTGCTCCCGAGCAAACCGGGCCCGGCCTCTCTCCAAAACGCTGCTCACCCCAGCGTCCCGCCCCGTGAGGCCCAGTCTGGGGACAGTCCGAGGTCTGTCTTCACTAGAGCCGCGGCGCTGCGGCCCCCGAAGTCTCTAAGCGTCAAGGGAACGGGCCAAGGGCTGGGGAGGGATGTCTGAGGGCAGTCCTGACCCCTTGGACAATGGGCCTAAGAGAGTTATGAGGACCGACCGCCAGACCGTCAGCGATCGGGACACGGCTGTCCCGGCGGCCTCAGTTTCGCGCGAGGTGGGCCAGCCGCGCTCCAGCAGGAGCCGCTACAAGACTGGCCGAGCACTTCGTACGCAAGTCCGACTCGGCAGCATCCCGCGCAGCAGGGACCAGGGGAAGGGAGAGAGGAAGAGGGAACTTCGATCACTGCGAGGGTGTCGGGGAAGGGGCGGTAGGGTCCCGATCTTGGGGCAGCAACAGAAGAGCCCAAACGTACAGGGCCGCGGGGCATGAGGGCGTCGGGGTGCCTGCGGGCCCTTGGGGCGTTTGTTGAGCGTCAGCTCTCAGGACTCTGGGCGTCAGGAGACAGGGGCGCCAGGGCGCGCTGGGCGCCGGGGGCGGGGTGCCCGCTGGGTGCCGCAGTGCCGGGCCGCGCCCGAGGCTGGCTGCGCCGAGGTGACAGGGAGGCGGGGGAGGGGGCGCCTCTTAACGGGTAAATATAAATCATACCTTGTCTGCCTCCGCACGCTCTTCACTAAATTCAGCCCAGGAAAAAGATGGATCATGTGAGTGGGACTGAGAGGTTTATGGAGCTGAGCTCCCGCGGCTGTAAATCACCCTGCCCTCCCCGGTATAAAGCGCCCGTCCATCCCGGCGTTAGAGAGAGGACACACTCGCCGCCCCCTGACCCCCAGCTCAGCGCGGGCTCCCGGCCCAGCCAGGTGGGTGCCCCTGGCTAGCCGGCCGACGGATTTGGGGAGTGGGAACCTTGGACGGGGTCCGACGGGGCTGCAGCCGCTTCTCTTTTCCTCCCGTCGAGCGCGAGACCGGCACAGTGGGCTTTTCTCTCCCCCTTCCCAGCGCTTCCTTCACCCCCCGCAGCCCCCGCCCCTCGGGTCCCCAAATCTAGGGATAAGATGGAGGAAGGAGAGCTCTCGAGGCTGACCTGGGGTCCTGTCCGCTCCGCCCCGACAGTGACCCCTCCAGCCTCCTCCAGTCGCCTCTGCCATGTCCGAGGAGCTGCCCACGGGCCCCAAGGAGAGCCCGCCGGCACCGCGGGCAGCCCCCCGCGAGGTGTGGAAGAAGGGCGGCCGCCTGCTGTCCGTGCTGCTGGCCATGAACGTGTTGCTCCTCGCCTGCACGCTTATCAGCGGCGGCGCCTTCAACACGGTGGCGGTGTACGACACCGACGTGTTCGCCCTGCTCACCACCATGATGCTGCTGGCTGTGCTCTGGATCCTCTTCTACCTCCTTCGCACCGTGCGCTGCCCCAACACCGACGCCGTCCCCTACCGGGACGCGCACGCGGGCCCCATCTGGCTCCGAGGTGCCAGGGGAGGTGTGGGCGGAGATGGGGTGGCCCAGGCGGGGAGGTGGAGGCTGGGGCTCCCGCAGGAATTGCTGGGTTCCCTTCGAGGTAGACCGGTGAGAAGTCTCCACCCCCCAAGGCTAGATGTGTCTGAGGGTGAGGTGGGCTGTGTCTGAGGCAGAAGAGGAAGGGAAAGAGTCCTGGAAGAGGGATGAAGAGAGGGATGGAGTGGAACTTCTCTGCCCTTTCTAAAGATTGAAAGAGGGTGACCATGGAAGAGACTTTGATGGAGAGCAGAAAACAGATGACAGCTGCAGTTGAAAGAGCCTCTCTAGGGTCCTTTCCCTTATCTATGCAGCCCCAAAGGGATGGGGGCTCAACAGGACATCCATCCATCTACCCACTCGATCACACACCCATCCTTCCATCCATCTTCTCACTTACCCTATTCATCCATCCATCCACCCAATCATCCAACTATTTGGCCATCCATCCTCAAATCTGTAATCATTTTCTCCTGCCTCTCTGATCCACCCCCCACCCTCCTTCCCAGGTGGGCTGGTGCTGTTTGGGATCTGCACTCTCGTCATGGATGTCTTCAAGACCGGCTACTACTCCAGTTCCTTTGAGTGCCAGTCAGCCATCAAGATCCTGTACCCTCTCACCCAGGCTGTGTTTGTCATTGTGCAGGTGGGTGGGAGGAGTGTCCCTGAGTGTGGTGGAAGAGAGCCAACATGTGGCATGGAGTCAGGAGATCTGAGCTCCACTCCACTTCCATGCTGAGCAATCGATTAGGGTGGGGATAGGACTGTAGTGCAGATCACATGAGTCCGTAAATCTGGAAGCACTTGGTAATGAAGTAATATCCAAATGTGAGTGCCTACTTAGGGGCCCTGCGATTTCATTTCACCTTAAGCAGTGCCAGTAGTTAACACCTAGGAGGTGTCAGTTGTGGCAGCTGCTCTGTCTCCTGGAACCTGACCTGCCCTCCTTGGGTGCCCATAGAGGGCATCAGTCTCAGCTCAGCGTCCTGCTGTGGGCATGGCCAGTTGGGCCTCAGCCATGTCCCCTATATTCTGTATTTTTTCAGGAAATAGGGTAGCCTGTATATGGGATTTTTCAAACAAGTTCACTTTTTTATTTCTTGCACGAATAACACTGGAAAAGATCTTCTGATTGAGCTGAGGCAGGACTGGTCTTAACGTGGGACCCAAACCCTCCCCAGCCCAGAATGACCACGTGTATGGTTCCCTCTCTTGAAACATCATCCTTAGTGCCCAGGTTTCCACAATTTAACACATTTACAACTTTGGCATTTATATAGTTTTAATTTTACATTTTCTGACTTTAAAGAATACTCAGGCAAAATGGAAATACAGACACCACAACATCAATAAACACCACAGCAAGGATTTGTGGGCAGCCAGGTGAGAGCAAGGACTTGCAGGGAAGCAAAGGATGAGGATGAGGCAGGGACAGTGCCAGAGAGAGCTGTAAGGCCGCTTAGGTTCTTTCCGAGGCTGGCCTCACTCCCAGGAATAAATAACTAGGCAGTCAAAACTCCACCCTACAAAGAAACAGAAAACAAACACCAAGCCCAGAGAGTTTACAGGTGGCATTTTGCAAACTTCTAAAGAACAGAGAACTATTTTGTACAAATCGCTCCAGAGAATAGAAAGAGAGAAAAGCTCATGTCTCCCTTTGCAAAGCTGAAAGAAACTCGATCACGTAGTAGGAGGGCTCTTGAGGCGGTAAGCGCATGGTGCTGGGCATGGACCTGGGCACTCCGGGCTGAGCCCGTCTGCAGAGTAGATGACCCCACCACTCTCTCTCAACACAGACTTACTTTCTCTGCATCTCCGCTAAAGATTGTGTTCACAGCCACCTGGACCTGACTCGGTGAGTGCCTGCTCCATGCCCATGGCTCAGTGTCCATGCACAGGGGCTGGGCTCACCTGGCATGAGATGAGCGCTTCCCAACCTGGGGCGTGGGTCCTCTTTCTGCCCCCAGGTGGGGTTTCAGCCAAGGCCCCCTGGCTTTGTCAACCTGATTTCCACCACCCTCTGCTGGGGGTACGGGGGACGTGCTTGGTGAGATGGCGTGTGTAATGTACAAATGTCCTTTCCCCAAAGAGAGGGAGCAGCCGTGGCCTGAACCCCACGACACCCCCGGCCCTCTTTTGGGAGGCATCTCAGCCAGGCTAAGTGTTCCTTCCAAACACAGCTTCCCTGTTCACACAGGGGTCTGCCTGCTTTCTTGCCTCTCAGCACCATCTCCCAGGAGAGCATCCCCAGCTCTCCACCACGCCGGGGACCCACCGTGAGCCACAGACTCTCACTGGCCTCTTTGCTCTCCCTCCCCAAACAGATGTGGTCTCATGTTCACGCTCACCACCAACCTGGCCATCTGGATGGCAACCGTGGTGGATGAATCGGTGCACCAGGCCCATTCCCTCGGCAGTCCTCACGGCAACACCAGCCATACCCGCCTCGCTCTGGAATGTGAGTGCCCACTTCAGATTCACCCTGGTCCCGTGGCAGCCAGGCCTCGGGCTGGGTGCTCTGTGGACTCGTAGAGGGCATGGAGGCAAAGGTGGCTGCCCCAGGCTATGCCTCTGAAGAAGTTTAGATGTGGGTGACCCAGGAGGAAGAGTACAGGGAAGCATTTTTTCATCCTGGACAGTACAGCCTTGGTCCCACTGTCCAGGTCTCCGTCCCACCAAAGAAGGGATTCATGCTCCAGGAAGAAAGGGCAAGAGTGATCAAGGTAGAAAGAGGGGAAGGGGGGCAGGGTGGCTCAATGGTGGAAGCGTGGGATCAGAAGGGAGTGCCTGACAAGGAGGAGAATGTAGAAGTAATAATCGCAATAACGATAGTGCCAGTTCTCTGAGCTCTATATGTCAGGCACTGTGCCAAGTGTCTCAAGCACCATCTCACTTAACCCTAGCAACCTCCCTGTGAGATGGGTACTGTTAGCATTCCCATGTTATGGATGCAGAAACTAAGGCATAGAGAGGTTAAGTAGCTTACCCAAGGTCACAGAGCTTGAAATTGGAGAACTAGGGTTGAGATCCATCTTTGCTTTGAACCAATATGCTATGCTGAAGAAGAATGAGCCCACAGTCCCCCTGGTCCTGGTTCTCTGGACTTCTCTAGCCCCCCCTCCCCCCGCCCCGCCACCAGCCAGGATCAGACTAGATGACCAAGTCCACCTGGACCTTGCACACCCAGTATGGGAGGGTCCAGGAATGGAAAGCATGGATCCAGGCCTACAGGAGATCCCAGCCCAGCAGGACTGAAAAGGGCCACTCTCCACATACAGAGGGGTCCTGAGGATGGTTAAACCCAGCCCAGGGAGGTGGGCGACCTTACGTGCTAGGGCTGCAGGGTGCAGAGAGGTACTTGCCTCAGGGGTGAGAGTCACGTCATTGGTGTCAGTTCTGCCATCGCAAGCCACTTTCTCTGAGTGAGCCTCAGTTCCTTCTTCTGCAAAACCAGCTGAGATAGTTCTGGGGATCAAAAGAGCTGTCTGCCAAGGCCCGAGGGATCCTGCAGAGCAGAGCACGCGCTGGATGCAGGGTGAGATTCCTATCAGTGTGGTACAAACCGAAGTGACAGCAGGTCACGGTCGAGACCTGGGCACAGCAGCTTCTTTCTGGCTGAAGCAGATGCTGGCGAGAGCTGCGAGGCAGCTTGAATTTTAGGGGTTTCCAAGCGGGCCACCTTCTATTAGGACCAGAGTCTTGCCTATCTTGGGCAGCCAGGGGTCATTACCGGTGGGGAAGGGTTGGGAGTGTTCTTCTGCAGGAATGGGACAGGATGAAGCGGGCAACTCTGCGGCTCAGAATTTTTTTTTTCTTAATCGAGCCCTGGCTCCCATAGTTTCTGGGATATAGTAGATGCTCAATAAATATCTGTGGCATGAATGGACCTGCCAAGCCCTGTGTAGGCATTGGAATACGGTGGTGACGGATAGCAACCCTGCCCTTCCAAAGGTCACAGTCTAGGGGTGAGGTTCTTCAGGTGGGGGCCTCCAGGAAGGTGGGAGGGCAGTGCAGCTCCGCACCCCCCTCTCCACAGCGGAGCGTGCGGGCGGCCCAGTCGGAGAAGACTGCTCCTGCAACACGGACGTCTGCCAGATCTTCCAGCAGGGCTACTTCTACCTGTACCCCTTCAACATCGAGTACAGCCTCTTTGCTTCCACCATGCTCTACGTCATGTGGAAGAACGTGGGCAGGCTGATGGCCTCCTCTACCCACGGCCACAGCCACACCCCATCCCTGCTCAGCCTCTTCCGGGAGACCTTTTTTGCCGGCCCGATCCTGGGTCTGATGCTTTTCGTCGTGGGGCTGGCCGTCTTCATCATCTACGAGGTCCAAGTGAGTGGGGAGAGGAGCCGCACCCAGCAGGCCCTGGTCATGTACTACACCTTCAACATCGTCTGTCTGGGGCTCATGACCTTGGTCAGCCTGAGTGGCTCAGTCATCTACCGTTTTGACCGCCGGGCCATGGACCACCGTAAGAACCCCACTCGCAGCCTGGACATGGCTCTGCTGGTGGGTGCCGCCCTGGGCCAGTACGCCATCTCCTACTACTCTATCGTGGCTGCAGTGGCGGGCACACCCAGGGAGCTGCTGGCGGGGCTCAGCCTGGCCCACGCTCTGCTCATGATCGCCCAGCACACCTTCCAGAACGTTTTCATCATTGAGAGCCTCCACCGGGTTCCCCCCGGGGCTGAGCCTCATGGTACTCCCCCCAAGGAGCCCTGCCACGGCCTCACCTTTGCCAACCTGGACACCCTCCACACCTTGCCTGCCTGCCCACCCACCCCCAGGCTGGTTGGCCCCAGCCCAGCAGGACCTCAGGGAGCAGTGAGCATCACCTTGGCCCCCAGGGGCCACTGGAGATACCGGTGCTTGAAGGACATTTCTCTGTTTCTCCTGCTCTGCAACATCATCGTGAGTAACTGGGGAGAGACGGGGGTGGGCTGGGAGGAAGAGAAGGCCGAGGAAAGATGCTCTTTCGGGTTTGTTCACTTGGCCCTCTGTCTGGCCCCCAGCCCACTCGAGCATCGTCTGGCTCTCTAGGAAAGGAGCAGGTTCAGGGAGAGTCAGGTGCAGCCCCGGGGGCGAACAGCATCTCAGGGCGCACGGGGAGAATGAGATCCCGGCATTCTGGCATCTAGGCAGAGCTGGAGGGGTCTTAGGGGATGCTGGCGTGAGGGCTGGGAGGAGGTGAGACGGAGCTGAGTGGGGGGCCCTTGCTCCCAGGTGGGAGGTGTGACTCTTCCCGGGACCTTGTGACCAACCTGCTTCTTAGAATAATCGCAGCAGTGACAGGAGGTGGCAGAGACCAGCATGAGCGTGAGGGGTCTGTCAGCAGAGTGCAGTGGTGGGCTGGCCAGGAGGGGGGCAGCCACAACAGTCACCCCTCCCCAGCGACTCAGCAAAGCCGCTTTCCAAGAGAAACTCCTCTGTATAGCGGCAGACTTCACCCGATACAAATATACATCCTGTACGAGAACACTCTGTGAAGGTGCATCCCAACAGAGAAATACTCCTAGTGTAGCTCCAACCTAATAGAGAAAGGCCCCAGTGTAGATATAATCCCCAGGAGGGAAATCGCTAACAGAGAAACCTGGACCCCTGTGAGTACATCCCAAAGACAGAGCACACCTCAGTGAAGTTTTGCTCAATGTAAAGACAGTCCTTTTAGCTATAACCTCTGATAGAAAATACCCCTAATATAGAAAACAGCCTTAATGTGGGTATATCCCAATATAGAACACATCTCCAGAGGGATTCCACCCCAGTGGGTCTATCTGAAATACACGCCCAAATTGAGGTGCATTCTTGAAGTCCCCACTGCCAATATTGCGCCTCCTACAGGTAAAAAAAAGAGTAGTCACCCATCTCTGACCTACCAGTAGAAGCAATAAAGCTCAAAACCTCCTCCTGTCTTGGGTCACCTTTGGTGTGGCTCCCAGCCTCGGCCCCCCTCACCTTCTCCCAAGGCCTACAGGCTGGGAGCCTACAGGCTGGGAGCCTACAGGCTGGGAGTCACCTGGGAGGCCGCTTTTGCTCCAGGTATCTGAGCCTGGATCAGCTCTGAGGGCATCATCTCCAACTCCTTCATTTTATAGGATAGAAGCGGGCTCAGATTTGGGCTGTGATGTGTCCAAGGATGCGATACATTTGCGGTGGGGAGAGGGGGGTTAGTCTAGAAGCCTTTATTCTTTGCCTCACACCCCATACATGAACTATCTGAGCTCATAGCCAGGGATGAAGCAGGATTCCAGCTTCAACCGCCTCCCAGACCTGGGAAGGGGGTGGGGTGCGGGGCCAGAGCTGGAGAGCAGAGCTCATAGCGGGCAGGGCTGGGGGAGCCTTCCGGCAGGATCCTGAACCCCTGCCCTGGGCCTGTCTGATTCTACCATCACCACCCTGCACACATCTCTCCAGGAGAGAGCTACCGATTTAGCCATTTATTCCAAATTCTCACAGCATCTATTGAGACTTCTTCTCCCCTTCCCCAGTCCCACAAGTGGGCCATACTGAGGGTGGGAGATGTGATCACAGGCGGAGCCCTAGGCTGGGGGGCAGGCAAGTTCAGTTGGGCACATTTACTGAGCTCCTTAGTGAGTGCCAGGCCCCGCCCAAGATGCTCGAGGTCCCCACTCAGCAACACCCAGCCCTCGCTGTCCACAAAACCAGAGGGCTGGGACCCCCATCCTGCCCCCGCCCCACCCAGCAGAGCCCACGGAATGACCCACTGGCACGAGTCCGGGCCAGGTCCTGACACCCCTTTGTCCCCACAGCTGTGGATCATGCCCGCCTTCGGGGCCCGCCCCCACTTCAGCAACACCGTGGAGGTGGACTTCTATGGCTACTCCCTCTGGGCAGCCATCGTCAACATCTGCCTGCCCTTCGGCATCTTCTACCGCATGCATGCTGTCTCCAGCCTGCTGGAGGTCTACATGCTGTCCTGAAGCCCCGCTAGAGACGTGGGGAGGAGGGGCTCAGCTCATGCACCCACCCAGAGACCCCCGGGGAATGAATCCCAGGCTGGCAGTCACTATGCCACGTAACTACCCATTCCCCCGCTGGCCTCAGAGTGGAATTTTCACAAAAGTTATTTTTCCAGGATGAGTTTTTAAATCACAATCAGGACGTGCATATCCCTGGGGCATGGGGCAAGCTGGGGGGAGGAGGACCTCTCCCTGCACCCTTCCTAGGACCAGGCAAGATCTGGAAGTGTCCTAGCCTCTAGCTCCACCCCTACCCCCGCCCCGTGTCCTGGCCAATGCTGCCGCCTGGAGCTGGAAACCAATAAACCTGCTCTTCTCCCTGCCCCACCCTGTGCCCACTTCCTGTCTCAGCAGCCACATCTAACATGATCACGGGAGGGGGTCTTGGGGTCGGAGCTGCAAGGGCCCCTGGAGATATTCAGGTCTCAGGCTTTTCTGTGGGTGAGCCAAGTCTGAGTCACAGACTAGTTACAGACTCGTACCTGGGTGGCTGGGAGGGGCTGGGTGGAGTACCCAGGCTGCCACCTTCCTCTTCGCCTTATCCTCAAGTGACATATACATTTTTTAATGTGTTCCATGACACATGAAAGGTTAGGAAGGACTCACCTAATCCAACTACAATTTTACAAAGAAGAAAACTGAGGCCCAGAGAGGTAAAGTGACTTGCCCACAGTCACACAGCGAAAGGGAGCCAGTGCCTTTCTACTAAGAATAATAATTTTCAAACTTTTTTCATGCATCAGAGCTTTTGTTTTCCCCTCAAATGAAACATTTCAGGAATGCAACTTCAATTCATAGACTGTTATAACATAATTTATAACAGGGCTGTTATAGCTAAACAGGGCTTGGGTGGCACAGATTCTCACCCCCTGGGCCTCCTCTTACCCACAACCCCACTCCCTGCGGTCCCTGAGGCTCCTCTCCAAAGCCCTCTGGCTCCTACTCTATAAGAGATATAGAGACGGGGCAACTGTGAAGCTGGGGAGGTCCTGGCAGGGCAGAGGGTGTGGGATCTCACTGTTTTCCCAGCCCTTCGACCGTCTCCGAAGCCCCTCAATAAAATGGTTTGATCCAAAAGAAGGTGGGGAGGGGGGATATAGAGATGGACTCAGAGAGACTGAGGAAGTCAGACGGTGCAGAGAGAGATTGAAAAAGAGGCACCAACAGCTAGAAGAGGAGGCGGAATTGGTGGCCAGCGAGTCAGGTGAAGGGGGACAGGCTGGGGTGGGGACTGGGGTGGGAGGAGATGGCTTTTGTGCAGGAGAGTGGGAGCAGCCGCACCTGGGGCACAGGGCACTTTAGAGGAAAACGTGCCAGGACCGCACCAGCACGACGAGGTGGGCAGGTCTCAGAGGCTGCAGGAAGAGCTGAGGAGGGCCGCAGGGGGCGCCTCCTGCCGTGTCAGAACTGGGTCTCTTTCGCCCCAAGTTCACGTTTGCCTTAGGGAGAGAGAGCTTGAGTCAGGGCCGGGTCTGGTGCTACATGGGGTACAAGGGAAGGTGACCCCGGATCTGTGGGGGAGGGTCCATTCCCTGCTGGGCCGCCAGAGGCAAGTGTGGCCTGAACCCTACACGGCCTCTGTTGCGGCCTAAGGACATTGCACCCCGACCTACCCCGGAAGCGGGCCTGCTCGTGGGTCCCCTGACCCAGAGCCCCAGGCATGCACCGCCTCCGGCCCCGCCCGCCTGTCCAGCCGCCTCGTTATTGGCTGAGCTGTCCGGGGAGCCCCCGGCGGGGTAATTAACGAAGGATTGATTAATGAGAGCCCCAAAGTCAACAGAAAAATCAATGGGCCGCGGAGCCCGAGAGGCGGCTGCGCAGTCCCGCGGAGGGAGGGCGTCGGAGGCATCGGTCCGGCGCAGGGGCCTCACCCGGACAGACGATCCGCGCTGCGGTGGTCAGCCGGCGGCGATGCCTGCCCAGGCCTCAGGTAAGGCTCCCCGGCGGCGCCGTTACGGCCGGGAGCGCCCTCTGACCCCTGGAGGAACATTCCCGAGAGCCCATCCTCGACACTCACACCTACTCCGCTCCCAAAGCGAGGGTCAGAGACCGGGGGCTGCAGGGACTGGGGCGGGAGGGCGAGATGACGGGAGGAAGGTCAACCCTTGGTGACCCGCACGGCGGTCCCCCTCTGCCCCCACCCCGGCTCTGCACCCCGTCTCCTTTCCGCAGGCGGGGTGCGCGCAGGGGTCAGCAGGGCACCCCCCCGCCCCCGCGCCTTAGCCGGGTCCGAGCGCGCACAGCGGAAAGAGAGCGCCGAAGCCGGGAAGAAGCTAAAAGCCCGGACGGCTGGAAAAAGGGGTGTGGGGCTGGGTTGCCGGGATGCCCAGTCAGAGGCACCCGTGTGGTGCCTGTCCCAGGCCTCGCAGTCCCTCGAATAGCTCGGAAAGAAATCCCGTAGCTCTGCGACCAGTGCTTAGCAGCATCCGTCGGATCCGGCCAGGCGCCGCGCCCCGACGGCTCTGCAGCTTTCATCACTGGCTCTAATCGCGACCCACAAACCAGTTTGGTGTCCGGGCCCTCCCCTGAACTGGCGTCGCGCGGAGGGGCGAGCCAGAGGATGGCGGATTCCTCCTTGTCAGTCAGGGAGCCCTCACCCTCTTCCCGCGACCCCTGCTTGCCCATCCCCGCACCCTCCCCAGCGGAGGACCCTATCCTCCACTTTGAGCGCTCCCTCTAGCGGCCGAGGGAGGGTTGGACCCTGGGGGTGGGGGCGGGGAAGATAGTGAAGGTGAGGACCCTGGAGGACAGGACCTTGTTCTCCAGGGTCCTCTCTAGGCCTGCAGTCCAATCAAAACCTGCCCCTGTAATTCACCAATAATCTCGACCGTTCCGGCCTCTCCAGGACCTGTACAGAACAGGAAGGAAATGCATAAACAGCTAACACTGAGAGCATTCTCTATGCCAGGCATGTCTCTACATGCAGTTACATGTGTTAAATCATTTAATTTTGAAAAATCCCCATCAGGTAGGTATTATGCCTTAATTCCTTCATTTATTCATTCAAGAAATCTTTATTGAACATCTACTATGTAACAGGTACTGTTCCATAGTCGTGTATCTGTTTACAGATGAGGAAACTGAGGCAGCGAGAGTCTAAGTAGCTTGACCAAGATCACACAGGTAGTAAGCGCCAGGATTCGGCACTAGGCTGTCCTCCTGCCTTGGGGAAGATTCTGGGAAGGCGAGATGGGGCAGTCAGGTCTGGGAGAAAAGGAGCAGGGAGGTGTCCCTGTAAGCTTCAGATGTGCTCAACCTGGGTGGGGGAGCCTGGGAAGAAAGACCAAGATCATCTGGAAAGTCTCCTCCACTGGGCCAGGATGGATGCAAAGGGTTTGATGGGAAGGGTTTCTGTCCGTGACTCTGGTGCTGAAATGTCCCCAGAAAATGCCAGAGTCAGTCAGCTAATATTGGTTCAGTGTCCTCCCTGTGCCATATGTGGGGGATGAGGTAAGCAGGAGCTGGTCGCTGCCCACCAGGCACACCCACAGCAGTGCACACCCGCTCTCGATAGATGTCTGGGCAAAGGGAGAAGTCTTCCCAGGAGAAGCGCTTAAGATGAGTGGTGAGGATGGGCAAGAGCCGTTGGTGGAGGGTAGCGGGAGAGGCAGAAGGAAGAACAGGCTGCAGGAGTGACGCGGGGTGGGGGGGGGGGGCACGAGACTACATGAGACATGGGGAGTACTCTGGCCGGGCCTGAATGAATGTGGGGAGGAGGTGCCTAGAGTGTGACAAGGGGGCTGGACAAGGAGGGGACAGAACTGGAGCAAGAATGATGTGGAAGACTGGGAAGGGGGGAATCATTGGTAGAATCTTTAAGAGTACCAAGTTTTATTATTCTATTTGCCCCAGAAGAGGACCTTAGGAGGTATAAATATTGGGCAGGTTGCACATTGGAGAATGGGGGCCTGAAGAGGCTGCACGTTAGAGCCACGTGTGCCGAGGGTCTTCTGGTAGTTACACAGGGGGATAGTCTAAAGGTCAGAGTCCAAAGGGAGACACAGAGCAAAGCACAGCTAATTAAAATAGAGCATGAACACTGATATGTGTAAAATTGATGACTAATAAGAACCTGCTGTATAAAAAAATTAAATTAAAAAATTTAAAAAATAAATAAATAAAATAGAGCATGATATGGGACTTCCCTGGTGGTCCAGTGGCTAAGGCTCCGCACTCCGAATTCAGGGAACCCAGGTTCGATCCCTGGTCAGGGAACTAGATCCCATGTGCCGCAACTAAGAGTTGGCGTGCCGCTATTTAAAAAAAAAAAAAAAAAGATCGCCCACGCTGCAACTCAGGACCCGGCGCAGCCTAATTAATTAATTAATTAAAAAAGAAGTAAACTTAGAAAACATAAAATAGAGCACGGTAGGGAACGCTTCAGCAACAAGCATGGGTGCAGTGAGGGTGCCAGGAGGGGCGCCTAGTCCAGCCTTGGCAAGGGGGTTCAGGGAAGGCTTCCTAGAGGAGGTGGGGCTCCACTGAGTCCCGAGGACACAACCGCCGTCATCCAAGGGGCAAGTGGGTGGGCACCATGGGCAAAGGGTAGGGTGTGGGCAAAGACAGGGGAGTGAGTAAAAGCAGGGGCGTTCTAGGAGCTAGGCATCAGGATGGCATATGGCCCGTGGGCAAGGGAGCGGGGGTCTGAACGCAGGGCTGGAGAGGAAAGTTAAGACCAGACCAGGAAGCAACAGCGGCTACCCTGCCTTGATCACCTTGTGCACCCCAAGCGCATACTAAACATACGCTGCCTTGTTTCATTTTGAAAGGCCAGGCAGGCCATGCTAGATAGTTTGGACTCTATAGTGAGAACAGTGGTTGCCTTTGCAGGGGAAGTAGGGGAGAGGCGCAGTGGGTAGGGAGGCCAGTCCAGGAGACAGAAGAGGGAGCCGTGGACCAGGGTAGTGCTCGTGGTAAAGAAAAATCTCAGAGCAGCCCTTGAGCTGGAATGCACAGGGGTGAGGGGAGAGGCAGGGCAGACGCTTGGTTCCCTGCTGGGAGGCATGGGGACGGAGTCTCCGCTTGCTGAGACAGTGAATTAGAAAGCAGGCCTCCTGCAGCCTGGACAAGGGGCAGCACCTGGGGCCCTGAGCCCCTAGGACCCTGAGCCCAGAGCACCAGGGATGCCAGGGCAGCAGCGGGACCAAGGGAGAGCACCGGGGACAGCAGGGGGTGGTGAAGGAACCTTCCCACCAGGACAGCACCCAGACCAGTGGGGCGTCCCTGCACTCCATTGCAGCCTTATGAGTACTCAAAGGGCCCACGGGAGAAGTGGACTCCAGGAAGGGGTCCTGAGCTGCAGGTACGGGGTGACCCAAGATCTGGGTCCAAGTGAAGGGTAACAAAGGGGTCGGCCTGAATGAAAGCTCGGGGCAAGTGAGAAAGTAGCAGGAGACACTCAGGGAAAGAGAAGGGTCAGGATGGTGTTCCCCATGTTGAGCTGTACGTTCATGAGACTTCAAGGAGTTGAGGGAGGGGACAGATGGAAGTCAGTTCTATCAAAGTCAAGGGTATGGGACTTCCCCTGGCAGTCCAGCGGTTAGGACTCCGCGCTTTCACTGACGAGGGCACGGGTTCAACCCCTGGTCAGGGAACTAAGATCCCACAAGCTGTGCGTCACAGCCAAAGAAAAAAGAAAGTCAAGGTCATGGCATTCATGCTCATCCCAACGTGTCCCATGCTCATGGCAGACATTGTCATTCAATCTCAGAACTTTTTCCTAAAACCTTTAATGTGCTATAAAATTAACTTTAATTACATAAGTAATGTTTGTTTGTTTATTTTTTGGCTGCGTTGGGTCTTCATTGCTGCACGTGGGCTTTCTCTAGTTGTGGCGAGCGGGGGCTACTCTTTGTTGCGGTGCGCGGGCTTCTCATTGCGGTGGCTTCTCTTGTTGAGGAGCACGGGCTCTAGGCACGCGGGCTTCAGTAGTTGTGGCATGTGGGCTCAGTAGTTGTGGCTCGCAGGCTCT